GGTTGGCCTAGAGGCATCCAGAGGTCCCTTCCAACTGTTCTCTGTGGCTGCTTACAAACAATTTCTAGAAACTGTTATTAATTCCTACTATTTGTTTGCACAGAAAGAACAATACATCTAATGGGCACCGAGCTATCAGGAAAGGACTTTAATACAAGATTACTGCATATCAGCTAGAGTCATCAATAAGTCTTTAAACATGGTCTGAGTGGGACCATTGAACACTTAGTTTTGGCCATATTTTGAGACAGTCTTCCATTTTTGTATCTAACAGGCAGAACTCAATCTTATATTTACATAAATCAGAATAGTGTGACGATTACCAGGGGCCATATTAATCAAACGTACCTGCCGCCTTCTTTTCTGGCGTAGAGCTGAAACCAGATGTCATAGAGCTGGGATTTGAAATCTGTAAGGTTTGCCTCTGCCACGTTTTTTTTAACCAGATACTGATGAGCTAGCTGGAGATTAGACAACAAAGACAAATACGCAGTTTACTTGTCAATTCAGTATTTTCATCGACTAAAAATTAAGATCTGTGTTACTCACTTTCATGACTTCAGTTTCTAAGATAGCATCAAGAAAATGATTGTTTTCAGCTATTTCTTCTGGAGTCACTACTTCTGCTACACCAGTTGATGTCTCATAGTTGTCCAATAAGGAAATAAAGGCTATGGAAAAAGAGGAACTTTTTCAGCTTTCAGCATGTTCATCCTGATGAGCAGAACATATGTACCATGATACCTATTTGTGCAGACATTAGAGAGTACCATCATATATATATGAATAAAAGGCCATGTAATATAGCAGTTCTCAACTACGCTGTTGGGTGAATGGTTGGATGTGACTCAAAACCAGATCACTGCTGCACTTTTTCTAAGATACTTAAAAGCAACTCCCAGTTGAGCTCTCCTATGGAACCAAGTGGCTGAGTAACATATGTAGCTCCAGCCTGGAAAAATAAAGGGAAGGAAACATATATTCATGGGCATGCTTCAAATATGGTGTTGTCAGAAATGCATGTGATTGATAGCTGTAGACTGGGTGCCCTCTGAAAGGGGCTAGGAGCTGTGAGCAAACGAGGAAAGTGGAATTTGTCTCTTCTTTTTCAATACATAGAAGTACCTCAAAGCACTAACAGAATCTCTCATCCTTTCTACTTTGTAATGGAAGGAAGAACCTCAGAGGAATCCAGATTTTGGCTATGGCACAAACCTATGTTCTTCCTGAGGTCGAGACTACAGTAATCTCCATGGCCTCAACACAAATGTTGGAAAGATGAGCTTCAGATGACAGGTAGCCTGAAGATCCTCATCCCCTTCTCATCTCACCATCCAAAATTTACACAATGTTATTTTCTAAGGATTTGCATTAAAAAAAAAAAAAACAGGACAGAGTCTCCATGTCATTTCCATGTCATTTCCTTAACAAAACAACAGATCTCACTCGCAAAAGTTTTTATGCTCTTCATGCGTTCCTCATTCACGTGGTGAAACAGATGTCTGGCTGCACCATCTTGGGTAGCACCGTCACCTGCTTTTCCCTAGGAGGAGCATCACAATAAAAAAAAGATGAAGTAAAACGTAGTTAGAGGATACAATGGCTGTCTTCAGAACCAAAACCAAGAAGCTACATAAGACTTTCAAAACTCTTTGCCAAGAATGATCATCTTGGGAACAGGAGAAGACATTGCAGAAGAACACCGAGGATCAACAGAAAAGACATTAATCTCCTCTCCTCCCTGCTATTGCTTAACCCATCTAACTCCTGAGCAGGATCCTGCAGGTTCTGCCCTGGTTTTCTTTTTGGCTTCACGAGCACAGCCCCAGCCATTGCACTGGTGCCCGGGGGAGCTGAGATAGCAGCAGATTTGGACAGGCAGACACTCAGTTGCCAGAGATTTTCACAGGCTTATAGTTCACTCATGTCTAAGGGCATTTTACTCAAGGTTAAAAACAAGCACATCCAAAACAGAAAGGAGATTTCTGATGTTTTTGAAGTTCTGATTCAAAAGAGGGCATTCTCAAAGAAAGAGGGGGATGAGGGGGGCAAAAAAAAGGGTTTTCAGGAAAGGGAAAGTGGAGGTTTCACAGCTTCTCTGGGCAGCTGGTCCCATTTGCATTTGCCCTGTTGAACTTCATGGGATTCCTTCAGCCCATTCCTCCAGCCTGTTCAGGTCCATCTGAACAGCAGCCTTGCCTGTGAGCGTATTGACTCCTTCCCTCCAGTTTGCTGGTGCTGCGAGCTTGGAAAGGCTGCAACCGATCTCCTCGAGCAGGTCTTGGATAAGGATATTTAGTACAGGATGAAAGACCGGTGCCTGAGGGACTCCACTTACAACCAACTTCCAGGTAGAGCACAAACCATTAACACTTTCAGCCTCCTGCCTTCTCCGTTCTGTTCCCTCCCCTGGGTGACTCTTCCTCATCAGGAAGTCCTGACTCTGCCATTAATGACAATTACGAAGCACAGGCAGCTCTTAACAAGGGGCAGTTTCACCTATGCCTTTTCCTACAACACCGCCCTGCCCTTAATCCCTATGTTACTTAATTCCTTAGCAATAAATTACCTGCAGCTCGATCGTGTAGTCTTTCCCAGGCGTGAAGCGGTTAACATCCATATCCCACAGCTCACTGAAAACTTCAGAAAGTTCATGGTTTAAGGACTTCCTGCCATGAAATACAGCAAAACACACATGTTGGAAAAGACATGCACTGTTAGGTTTTTACGAAAGTCACTTTTAAGAGTCTTTTTGCGTCACTGACTATGTTCTGCATACTAATTTGTCATCAAGAGGGTTTTCTCTTCTCCAAACACCTTGCTGCCAGTGCAGCTGTGAAAACCATATAGCAGCAATCTTATACACTCTCTTTCTACCAAATTCCTGCCTCTCGGCACTGCAGGACCCCCCCAGCAGGGATGCTCTCCTTGGCACAGTTACACTAGAGTAAGGCTGGAGTAATGAAGGGTCACTAAGACGCTGCACACTGAAAAGAGAGCGTTGGTCCAGTGGTGGCAGACTGCTCCACAAGCAGCACAGCAAGATTTTACATGCCTTGCTCTTTGTGGCTGGCTCACAGACTGCTGCTCTGTGTGCCACGCGGATGGAAAAAGGAGGTAGCAAACCGTGCCTGGAGAAGTGCAACTTTTTCTCCTCCATGTTGAGCAAGCCTTTTTCTCTAGGAGGTGGCCCCTACAACCTAAGATTAATGTCCCCGGAAAGTCCTTAAGGACTTTTGCCTAAAGAATCTCACACCCCAGAGTTAAGGAGCCAAAATGAGCTTCTTTACATTAATGCACAGAGGTGGCAGCTGAAGAACATGTGATATTAGGAGTGAGGAGAGCAACCTCCTGCAGAAGGGCAGGGCAAACAACTGTAGCTGCTTCGGCAGCTGCACCTCAGTCTCCTGCAACAGAGGACCTGAGCCGTCACGTACCTCCATGATGCCGGAGGCATCTGTGATACTTTCAGATTACTGTTGGTTGGGAAATCCTACAAAGATCACTTGAATTTTGAACTGGGCTTGAACAGGTATGAAATAACTGAAAGGAGGAACAAGATAGAAAGTTCTAGTATATGGGAGCCAAAGGATATGTTTATTGCCCGTTTTAAACATGAAGGAAGGGGTTTGCATGGAACAAGCATCTGCATAGGTCTTAACACTGGAGCAGAGTGGGTGTGCCATAGAGCAGGTATATTGAGCCCTTGCCTAACCCTACGCTCTGTATATAAAGTAGCAGTGTGGCTTGTGGCATCTGCACAGCCCTTACAGGACATCTGCTCAACTTCAGGGGGAATTAGCTGCCCAACACACAGGGGCAAGCAAGAGGAGCAGAGCATTTCTTTATTTTCAGCTCTACCTCCACAATCTTCCCTGAGTCTTGAGCACAGTAACTCCTCCTCTGAAGAGCTCACAGACCAGCACTAAACAGGAGAAATGCTCATCTCATGAGCTCAGCTCAAGCCCCAAGAACAGGATCTGCAAGTTCACACACGACTACCAGAGATGCTTTTCAAACTTCAAATGCTGTCTGCATACTTACTGCCCAGGACTGACCTAATTTTGCTGGCTCTCTTTTCTCCTGCTTTCTCGACGTTCCCGCTGCCTCCTGCACTGCATCAACTGCTGCTACCTGTTTAAATATCTCCATGCAATGTTTAAGAGAGCTTTTGCCTTGCTACCTTCACCTAAGTTACTACCCAGGGTGGAGAGGTGCCATCCGTTGAACATTCAAGGTACGTGAAATACTATTTTTTAAAACTTTATTTTTAGTGTTTTATACTATATATATAGTATTCTGTATACATATATTTTAGCAGATATGTATTTTGGTGGAAAAAAAGTATTTCCAGGTAGGAAATCTGCCATTCCCTGCAATACCTCCTGCTTGTTCTTGGTCCTGGTCTGCTCTTGGCAGATTTGTACTGCTTATGAAAGACAGTTGGGCTCTGTTTGGTCTTTTCTCCTCTAGAAATGTTATGAGATAGTCTATATAGACTCATGGAGACAAGCTCAAAGTGTCACAGAAAGAGCATACCTACACATTTCACTCATTTATTTAGTAAACATACTCTTGCCAAACATATTTCTGCACTCAGAAAGCGATCCTCAAGACTTTAAAATCACTTAAATTTATGAAACAAATGCATTTTCTCTCCTTTTCCTTTGCTGGATTATGATCAGAGACTCTTTGAGTCCTTTTTGATGTCCCTTTCATCTCCAAAAAGAGAAGAGAACACGTGAATGTATTATACCTTGAAGGTCGGAATAGAGAGAAATATATCCCTGCCAAAGCAAAGAACTTGTTTAGCAACTCACATAGTCATCTTGTAAAAAACATTTCTTAAGCGTGTTTCTTTAAAAAAGACCTGTAATTTAACCTACACATATGAGGTAAGACACCTTCAAAGGGAAGAAGCCAAACATCTTCATGTAAAGCCATGACACACAGCATTTAGGTAAAGTCCGAGAAACAGTATTGCATATTTGCCTTCTGATTTTTTAATATCATTGCACGTCTGACTCAAATCAGAGATCTTTATCATTAGTTTTCAATCCCCTCCCTACAGCAATATTCCTCACCTGTTAGATTTGTGATTTGGAATAAATCATTTTTACCCATGAAGTGTGGCCAACTGGATTTTGTCCAGTTGGAGTCTTGCTCAAATCTGCTTTTGGGCACAAAACACCAGTCCCAAAACACAAAACACTCACTCGGCACTAAGTAAAAGTGGAGAAGATTTTGGGGGAAGGTCTTTGCAGCAATAATTCTAAGGTAACAGAGCAGGAGAGCTAGAGCAAAAACATCTCAAATTGTTATTATTACTGCTTTCAAGTGAAACATTCACATGATGAGCCAGTTTTGCCAAGTGATTTTCTTGTATGAAACCTTCACTCTGAACAAAACAATTCCCCAGCATGAAAACTGTTATTGTGGTAAGCCAGAAATGACTCAAGAGATGAAGAGAATTAAAAGGTCAACAGGGAATCTGGTGAACAAGTCAAACCAATAAAAACATATATTGCCAATGGTCACACAGAGCCCTGCAAAGAAGGTTTGATTGAACGTCTGCTCTAAAGTAGATTTATTTTCACAGGTCCTTTGAAAAAGGTCCATTTTTTTAAAACTCCTTCAACCTTAGACTATGGGACAGACACATTTGCAAAGCTTGATGAGCAAACTTTTACAAGAAGTTAATTTTTTAAAGAAACTGGTTCTAATGTTGTGAAATACATTCTCCATCTCATAGGGTTAATATAATATAATTGCAATTAGGCAATTCTCTTGATTTTCCTCTTTTTTATATCAGTATGTATATATCTTATTGACTTCAATTTTTTTTTAAGTTTAAACTAGATTTTTGAAAGACAAAGAATTAAATAGGTTTTAAAGGTGGAAATGAAAACTGATTGTCAAGTGATAAAAGTAGAAAGTTATTCAGTAACACTTTGACAAAGTCCTAGGCAGACGAATAATGACTAGAGAAACCATTCTACATTATCAGCGAGGTGCAAGCAAAATATAATCTTAGCATCATTCTGCTTTATCTAAAACAGTTTATGTTTCAGTTGTCTTTTTAGTCTCACCAACTTAGCAAAACCAAATAGAAACAATAAGCAGGATAACTGCAACGCTGCATTTCATGTAAGTCCCTCTTACACGTATTTACCAAACAAATACACCCCATTCTCACTGTCCTTGGTGTTAAAAAAGAATTAATATGAATTTCTCTTACCCATTAGCCATGTCAGGAAGATTTTTTTTTTCTCTTAGCAAATACACTAAGCAGAGAGAACACAACCTGAAGCTCAGATATCCTATGGTAGTCCAACAAATGGAGCTGTCTCCGTGTCACTTGCCTGCTTAGGAGTGTCACTCACTTGATAGGCAGGGCAAAAAGGCACTGCAGAAGCAGGAGGTGCTAAACCCCACGGCAAAACGTGGCAGGAACTACCTGGTCTCGCGTCCGTGCCAGCGGAGATGCCTATGAGCAGGAAGTCAGAGCCACCTCCACCACTTTTATTTGGCCTCTTATCATTGCAGGCAATCGGGACAGCTAATATTACAGGAGCTGGTTTCATTTCCCACCTAGGTTTTATAAGGGAATTTCAGATCCTTGTACAAACTTTAGCCCTCGGTCGTGTTATTACTTCTGGATTTTTGTTGCATTATTTATTAACAGGGCTTAGACCCCCAACGTGAATTTTAGGCCTCCAAACGAAAGCACTTCAAGTCTGAAAGCCTTGCCTGAAATGGGGAGGCTGTTCTAGTGTTGCCATTTTACCTACGGTTACAGGAAGGGAAACTGAGCATAGATCAGACATTTAGGAAATTATCCGTACAAAGTATATTAAGTAGAAAATCTTGTGCTTTATTTACTTGCAGCTGAAATTGCTAGTGGGGATCTGTTAAGTAATAGGAGGCATTACAAGCAGGAAATGTTTTACAAAGGCGGCACTTCATGCCTCATTGGGAGCGAGCTGCGGCGGGTGCTTGTGCGTGCAAGTGCTCCCTCCAGTACCTCTCCTGGGAAGCACACATTCGTTTTGTGGCTAAATTAAAGCTTCAGGTTTAAAAGCTTATTTTTATTTGGTCGATTTTTTTTTTGTATTTCCATCCTCATAGTCATTAACTCCTGAAGACAAAGCTTTACGCTGTACGCTCTGTTTGTACAGAATGTTGCTAGCTCAATTAACACACTGAAAAATGAACCTTTATTTTAACCCTGGCAAGAGAAATTAATGCATCGCAAATATCAATATCCTTAATTTTAACAGATTTTTTTTTCTTCACAATATTTTATTGTCATTTACTACAGATGTGGGCAAGCAAGATAAACAAACAAAAAAATACAGTGCCTGCGTTTGTCATCTGTAGGATTTAATTTAAAATACACAAGCTAGTGGGCATACTCCTTCTATAAAGAAGTCCTAACTCCTGTAAGGACATTAGTGGAAAGAGAGTTTGGGAGCCTAAGGAATTTTCTTTTACAAGCAGTACCTCCACTGGAGTTAGCAGATTTAAATTATTCTTTCATTAAATGACACCCTGGCAAATCAAGTAATGCCAGGGATCAGTTTGACCCTATAGGTCAGATCGGAATCATCTCTAGCGATTTATAGCCAAACTTGCATTCAGACTGTCCTATGATTTAACTGTTAAGAAAATCTTGAGGATCCCCAAACATACAAAAGGGTCCCTTTGCCAGCAGAAACTAGGAGCTGACCAAAGGCTCATGGAAATAATGCCAAATCCATTTGGGTCTTTTCCAGCTCTAACCCAAACAGGGCCACATTAAGAAAACCTGAATGGTCAGAGAATGATTTTGCCAACACTGTGATGACTTTCTCAGCTAAAGAGACCAGGCAATGGTTTCTTAAACTCCTTCCACGGGGCAGGCAAAGACATCTGCGGAGATCAGGAGACTTTTTGATTCCTTGCAGTAATGTGACCTGTTCAGCTTCCCTTTTGCTTGTCAACCCGCTTCCTCAGAGTGAGTGGGCAAGTCGTGGTCGATGACTGGTCTCTGACCGGATTAGTCAACTCAGCAGACAGCAACGTGGAGAGAAACCAGACTGTGGGAGACAGCAGGCGCTGCGGCAGGGAGGCGGTGCAGTCCCCCACTATGAGCCGAGCAGCTGGGGGAGGACAGAGGCACCTCTTCTTGCTGTTTTTTAATCTTAATATTAGAACCATCAAGTACAGGCTTTTGGGCTGGGAGAAACTGTATCTAAGAATCATTGACTCCTCTTTATTGTAAGTTACAACATTAATTAAGGAGTTTGGGGTGTTTTACCTTCATCACAGATACAAATATGCATTTGTTTACGAGTCATTCATTTGTATGTGTCAACGTAAAACAAAATGTTCTTAAGGCCTGGTTGAAAACATCTCTTATTCCATATCCTGGAGGAGACTCAGGGAAGACCTTACTGCTCTCTACAGCTGCCTGAAAGGAGGCTATAGTGAGGTCTGGGTCCATCTCTTCTCCAGAATAACTAGCACTAGAACAAGAGGAAACGGCCTCAAGTTGCACCAGGGGAGGTTCAGGTTAGACATTAGGAAAAAATTAAGAGTGGTGAAGCCTTGGAACAGGCTGCCCAGAGAAGTGGTGGAGTCACCGTCCCTGGCAGTGTTGAAGAAATGTGTAGATGAGGCACTTAGGGACATGGTTTAGCAGGCAGGGTGTTGAAGGGCTACAGTTGGACTCGATGATCCTGAAGGTTGTTTCCACCCAGAATAATTCCATGATTCTATTATCAGTGACTTATTCTGAATCACATCCTGGGGTTCATTTTGTAGGAGTGTAAGCTGGGCAAGTGGAGGCTTAAGAAGCTGGCAGTATACATCAATTCTTGTGAGGCAGTGTTGTTATAAAGAAGCCTTCTTTTTCTTATCGTAACAGATATGGGGACTTAGATTTTTTGCTAATACAGCAGGC